GGAAGGGAGAGGAAGAGGGATAGCGAGTTAGAAACATCGATGAGAGAGAAACATCAATTCAGCTGCCTCTTGCACGCCCCCTACTGGGGATGTGCCCCCAACCCAGGTACATGCCCTTGACTGGAATCGAATCTGGGACCCTTGAGTCCACAGGCCAACGCTCTATCCGCTGAGCCAAATCAGCTAGGGCCTGTTTTGTATTCTTAAAAGCAGAGTGACTGTCTAGAACAGTCCTGACAGTAACTGCCTGGGATCATGGAAATGTTCCTTGTCCAATACGGTAGCCCATGTGGCTTCACAGTGAAATCGAGGAATGAAATCTATGAAACAGCTCGAGTGGCTGGGCGGTCATCGTAGTGGACAATGCAGGCAGGTCTAGAAGAGCGCTGGACCCAGGGCGTGCCAGGTGGCGTAGCAGGTACACAGGCGCTGGGGGATGTGGAAGCGACAGGGGGCTGCAGACACATGGCTGGATGGCGAGGAGACAGACTCAGAAGAGCAAGGAATGGCAGGAGCAGGTGTAGGGGAGCAAAGACATGCCTCAGGAGGTAGGCGAAGTGAAAGCCAGATGCAGGAAGGCACATGCTGCATGGCTGCGTTGACACGATCCCTCCAGAACAGGCACATCTGAAGAGCAGAAAGGTTAGTGGCTGCTGAGAACGGGGTTTCTTTGGGAGGTGATGACATGGAGCTGTGGTGAGGGCTGCACAAGGCTAACACTAACGACTATGCTTCAAGAGGACAATGTACAGTGTGTGAATCTCCATCAAGCAGCTTCACAGCACTGAAACCTCAGGCCTCAGGTCAACTTCCCACCGCGAGGCTCCGACTCTGATGTAAAAAACAAGAGCCCTCCCTATGGCTGGAGCCTTTACCAGGGCAGAGAAAGTCGATGCCTGCAGGAGAAACTGAACACTGGCTGATGGGGGCTTGAAAGGACAGCTGAGACAGAAGGAAAACGCTTGAAAAACCCAAAAGGTGCAAGAAAAAGCCACCTGTGATCTCCTGGAAGGGCTGTTGTCAGACGGTAGTTTGACATTCCCACAGGTGAGGGGCCAAGCCTGGTCTTTCACTTCCTTCCCGATGGCATCTCTTCATTAGGGACCGGGATGCTCAGGTGGGCACAGCATGTGCAGAACCTGTGTGCCGAGGAAGCTGGGGCACGGGCTTTCTCTGCGGGAAGCCAGGAACCAGGAAGGGGCAAAATGGTACTAAGGCATCCATTCAAAAGTGAAAGGTGACTGAATGTTCGTCATTGATGAGAGAGAAGCATCGGTCAGCTGCCTCCTGCACACCCCGACTGGGGATGTGCCCGCAACCAAGGTACATGCCCTTGACCGGAATCGAACCCGGGACTCTTCAGTCCCCAGGCCGACGCTCTATCCAGTGAGCCAAACCGGCCAGGGCTGAATGTCTGTTTTTAAAAGGAATACAGTCTAAAACCCAGTTATAAAGATGCACAAGTCTAAATTTTAAAGGCTTAAAAACTATTTTTAGCACAGTCCTTTTTGTGAATTTTAAAGAGAAACATTTAAGTATGCTGTTATATTGGAAGACATTCAGGCTGTACTTAACATTCTGTTTTTCTATCAAGCTCCATATCAAGAGTTCTAAGGCAAAGACTTAGATCTAGATCACCTTGATCTTGAGTCAGAGAAAAATCGGCACTAGTTGGGGATGTAATGAGCAGCCTTGAGAACAGTCAATAAACTGTAATAGCTGCTGCGTGGTGACAGGAGGTAACAGACTTACTGTGATCACTTCGTGATGTATTTAATACCGAGTCACTATGTAGTACCCCTGAAACTAAGATAATATTGGAAGTCAATTGTTCAATTTTAAAAGGAAAGAATCTTCAAGTTCAGTCTCCCTCTAATTACAGAGGACACAGCTCGGGAAGGAAGTCCATGAGAAAGCCCCTGACACTCCATCCTGGCCCAACTTCCCAGTGTGAAACACAGACCTGCAACGGCATGCAGCGAACACGTTACATACAGGTGGCTGCGCAGCTTAGTGTGTATTTTAAAACACCGAATTGGGAGATTTTACAAATACTGATGGTCAGAATGAGTTCAAGTTGAAAAGGGTGCACTTCAAGTGGCTTTAAAACATTAGTGGTGACACTCCGGCTGGTATGGCTCAGCTGGCTGGACATCGCCCCGGGCATCAAAAGGCTGCCGGTTCAACTCCCAGCCAAGGCACATGCCCGGGTGGTGGGTCAATCTGTAGTATGGAACAATGTTTCTCTCTCCCTTCTCTAAAAATCAATCAAATATCTAAAAATAAAAAAACCCAAACAAAAAAACACATTAGATGGGTTGTATGACATAGTGAATGCACTGAATTGTCCACATAAAAATAAAGGAGAACGTTTGTTTTTTACCATAATAAAAAAAATTAAGACAAACAGGTACATAGTTTAGGTGGTACTAGATCTAGGAAAGCAACATGTGGTAGGACTGACGTTCCAGTCCTCAGGAAACGGCCTCACAGGAGCACACTGACCAACTGTTTGGGAACAGAGCTACCAATGAACCGCCCTCAACACCAAGACAGCTGCTCTAAGGAGGGTGAAGCTGTAATGATTTGCCACCTGAGGGAGCCACAGGAGCTTAGGGCCCCAAATTCCTTTCACTAGAGCCTGGAGGACTGTGTGAGCCCGTGCGGTGAGACACACAGGTTGCCTAGAGCATATTCATTGGCTTTCGACTTCTCGTCAGTAGTGGTTACAAGAAAGGGCTTGGGAGCCATGCAGACCTGGTTTTTAAATAGACACACACACACACACACACACACTTTTTATTGATGTCAGAGAGGAAGGGAGAAGAGAAACAATGATGAGAATCATTGATTGGTTGCCTCCTGTACACCCTCTACTGGGGATTGAGCCCACGACCATAGTTTGATGCTCAACCACTGAGCAGCATGGACTGGGCAAACCTGGTTTGACTCTCAGTGCCGCCAAATACCAAGTAGGCAGCCCAACTTCTTCTAACCTCAGTCTGCCCATCTGCAAAATGGGGATGAGAACAGCAGCTCCCTCCCAGTGATGTTAGAAAGACTGCAACACGTGAGGAGTATTTTTACCACTGTAAAGCCTTTACCAAGCTCGGCCATCACCAGTCAACTAAGTTGAAGTTTATTTGAATCAAGGATGGTAATGTTTTAAATAGAACTCAGTAAAGGATCTTCTTTGGTGGGAAAAAGCCTAAAAATTACAATGTGTATCCAGCGTTTCCCACAGTACTTGGACTGTGGTCAGTGAATGTTGGCTAGAATAATTACTGCCTATTAATACAAGGTTCAGATTTTCAGTTAAACACATTTTTGATAAATACAATTGAAAAGGCTATTTCCCCAAGTTCTTTAGTATTCAGAATCCTCACTTCCACAGAACATTTCATAGGCTAGTCTTCAGTGCCACCCCCACTGGGAAAGCTACCCCAGACAAGCCTCTGACAGGCCAGGTGTGGGTTGCACACCTGAGGCAAACACAGACTGGCCTCCCGGGCGAGGGAGGGTGGCAGTGAAGGAGCAGGTAAGATACACTTCAGTCAGAGTGTGGGAAGAGCTCAGATTTATCTCAGTGCAGTGGCAGATGCAACGGCGTGAGCGCACTCCACCTATACAAGTTTCCTCGGCACACCGGGAAGTGGCAGCGCCTGCCTGAGTAAGCCCCCTAGAGCCCCTACATAGTACCCTGATCTTTCCTACCATTGGTTGCCCTAAGGATGGTGTAAATTTCTGATTGGTCTGGAATGTTACATATGTTGCTGCACTTAAACAATAAACTCAGATCCGCATCTTGAACCCGTCTCCGGAGTCGGGCATGCTTCGTTAGGACTCCGTCGGCCTCACCCCAGCGGGACCCCTTGCCTCATCAGAGGACCTGAGCCTCCCGGCCCTGTGGCTGAACTTGTCATTCAAGGACTTAGGAGGCGCAGGTGTGGGGCCTCACTTGGAGAGAGATCTAAAATTAATGAATAGTAGCCATTGCCGGTTTGGCTCAGTGGATAGAGCGTCGGCATGCGGACTGAAGGGTCCTGGATGTGTTGCAGGCTCCATCCCCAGTAGGTAGCGTGCAGGAGGCAGCCAATCAATAATTCCCTCTCATCATTGATGTTGCGCTCTCTCTCTCTCCCTTCCTCTCTGAGATCAATAAAAATCTATTTTAAAAATAAAAAAATAGAATAAACGAATAGAAATGCCCTCCTGTGACCTTCCTCTGAGGTCAGAATGAGGGGAAAGGAGCTGACCCACTTTGGGCTGTAGCAGTTAAGGCCTAGAGTAGTGGTTCTCAAACTTCCTAATGCCCAGACCCTTTAATACAGTTCCTCATGTTGTGGTGGCCCCCAACCATAAAATTATTTTCGTTGCTACTTCATAACTGTAATTTTGGTACTGTATGAATCATAAATTAAATATCTGATATGCAGGATGTATTTTCATTGTTACAGACTGAACATAATTAAAGCACAGTGATTAATCACAAAAACAATATGTAATTATATATGTATTTTCCGGTGGTCTTAGGCGACCCCTGTGAAAGGGTCGTTCAACCCCCAAAGGGGTCTCGACCCACAGGTTGAGAACCGCTGGCCTAGAGGAAGAACCGCATGCTCTGAACTCCACACTGTCCAGCCGCTTCCCAGGGCACAGGACTCCACGGCCCAGGGAAGGGACTTGCACTCACAGGGGTAGGCAGATTGTTCAGTGTGGCAGCGCTAGTGGGAATAGAAAAAGCATAAAAATTAAGGATGCCCCCCAAAATTTTAAGGTACTTCCGTTTCAGCCGGAATGTTGCAAAAGAAGAGAGGGTGATGGAGAAGGCAGTTTTCTGGGCAGATTACCTCTTTTCAGGAGCCTTTGGTGGGTTCGGTCACATACAGGTACATCAAAATGAAACCTTACCAGGGCACCCCACCCCTCCCCGGGAATGCCAACAACCCCCCAAACCCACCGCCCACCCCAACAATCAATAACTCTGAAGACAACACCAGTTCTTCTCAAACAGTTTAATAGCAAATAAACAAAGGAAGGTACCACACTTGGCAGATACAAAATGACTTTTTGTCCGTGTGTCTGTGCAATTAAAACAGATTTAGGTTCCCCATTGGGAAAAAAAGAAAAACACACAAAAAAAGGAAATTTCTTTTAAACACATACTCCCTTGCTCCAAACTTTTAACAATTTTTTTTTTCTTTTTTAATCCACTACACAAACTGTGATCAGGTCAGAAAAGCGACAAGGGCTCTTCTTGCCTTTTTTTTAAACCATTAAAGTAAAATCCATAATTTTCTACATAGTACAACACAAGTTCACACAAAAAAGACATTTTCTTTTGCAAATCAAAACAGGGAAGAAAGGAAAAGCTCAAACAAGGTAAAGGAAAAGCATTTCTACGGCTGAATCACGACTTTGAGTTGATTGAATCCCGTTGTTGCTGCAGAACAGACTGTGCGTTTGGTCATAGTGGCAATTTTTTCTCTTCACATTGTGAAATCACTTTACATTGTTTTCTAGTAGAAAAGGCAAAAAACTGTACAAAACCCCTAGTGTTAAATACAACGTTTGTACCAATAAAAAACTCACACAGGTTTGTCTCCAAAATGTAAAGATTCTTTTTTTTTTCTTTTTAAATTATTCACAAAAAGCAGCTGGAAATCAGAAAGGCAGCTGCCGCTCCAGGGTCTCAAATCCATTAAAACCACCACAGAACGATTAAAACGATCAGAGAGAAAAAGAAAAGGAAACGTCCAACGTTTGGCATTTGGTTTTATCCACAGGTTTTCCCAGAGCTCCTCTTGGAATTAAAAGCAAAATATGTTGGCAAACACGGATTCTGAATACACAGGAAGGGGAGCCTCAGTGCCTTCTGCCAACAGAGGCGGCTCTGTGCAGTCAGACTGTAGGGTGCACGGCCGTTTGCTCAGGCTGGGGTTCCTGGTCTCCTTCCACCCACTCGCCCCTTCCAGGAAATCCAGCAGTCTACCATACACTGGGCCTCCACGGGCCGCCCTTTCCTTCTAGTAAGAATGGCCTCAAGCATAATACTAGGCAACCCGCTGGGTCCCAGACCAGAAATTCTGCTGGGATCCCTTCCTTCATCAACCTCAGCATGGATAGTGCTAACAGTGCTTCTACCTTCCCCACCCCTCCCCGTCCCTCGGCTACCCCTCCCTCTCCACCCTTCCCTGGGCACTCCTGCTTCCCAGCTCTCCAGCCCACTCGCAGCTCAGTTCTTCTCTGGGTGGATCTATCACAAACTCCTCTCTCTGCGACCTCTCACCTCCACAGATCATCCTGTGACCCCTCATCTCCCCTGGCTCTTCCGCTGCCATTCACATTCTGACTCAAGCCCCTAAGACCCCGAGGCTGATGGTGCCACAGAGAGGAGGGCAAGTTCCCTTCAGGGAACCAAGGAGCTGGTTTGCCTGGCACCCAGGGACAGTAGCTATTTGGCTCTTCACCCAATTTTAAAAAACAAATCCCTGCCCTTACCCCACCTCACTAGCTAATAAGCAAGAGCAGAGCTGCGGTGAAGAGCCAGTGTGGGGTGGCTGGTGGCCAGGGCTGTAAACAGTGTGAAGACTGTAGTATTGTGCTTGTCACCTAGGAAAAGCGCTGGCAGGTGTACTGCCGCTTAGTGCACAGATGGCCGCCTCCGAGTGGTCAAGAGCACCCTCCTTTCTCTGCGCTGAGAGATGCTCACTACCCCTAATGTGCTAAGCCTCCTGCCCACCTGCAGCCACCTTCTGGATTCTTCCTCTGTTCCCGTGCCTCTCAGGCACCTTCCTAACCCATCTCTGAGCAGAGCAGCCAGCCTCCTGGAGGCCCTGCTGAGGCCTGGAGGCCACATGAGGTGACAGTCTAAGTGCACAGGCAAACGCTCTAAGGGCAATAGAGGAGAAAGTTGCCACTTCAAAATAAAACAATACAATCTTGAAAAAATAATCAACCCCACAACAACTTAAAACAGCTTCTTTGAAACCCTTTTAAATCGGTCAGTTTTTGCACAAACTATAGAAAACAGAGAGGTGAAGGTGATATATAAGAAGGTGTGAAGAAACAGCAGGAAACATGCAAAACTTGTTTTTTCTGGGCATAATCTTAGTAGGAAAGGAAAAAATTCCAAACAAAAGCACAAAAACAATACAAAAACAAAAACCAAAAAAGTATCAAAGCATCACATTTTGCTGTGGAGACTATAGGAACAAGCGTGGGTAGGGACAGCGGCCGGGGAGGGGCCGGAGGGTCTGAAGGCTCCCTGCAGGTGGCTGCAGGAAGAGCCCCAAAAGGAAAAGGGCGGGCTGGCTGCAGCCTGCTGTCAAAAGGGAAAGGGGTTCAGGTGTTTTCTGCAGTGAGAACTCAGAAAAACAAAAATAAACACATGCGGTCTCCTCAAGCCCCACAAACTGTATCAGCAAAATGTGCTCAGGAGCCTCAATGGTTTCAGTGACATCTTTTATTTCATTGTTTACTTCAAAGTTGTCTTTAAAACTAAGCACACAGAAACAAAGCCTAGAAACGGACTGGCTGTGTGTTCACAGAAATACAAACACTACGCGGTATGTGCTAGTAGGGCTGCTCTGAAGACAATTACAAAGAATTGGAATCACAAAATCAAGTGGTTATCTTATGAAGTTCTAGAAAAATAGATTTTTTTATATTCAAATGCAAGTTTAAATATTTCCCCTTCAGCAGTCGTTCTAGCAAAACCAATTTGGCAGCACAAAAGAAAAAAAAAGGAAAGAAAAAAGAAAAAACAAAGAAAAGAAACAAACATAATAAAAATACACATCAGCATCAAAGGTCAAACACAAGGTCAAAGGTGAGAGTTCAAGCATCAGAGAAGCTGAAGAGACAGGGATTTGGACGATGTACTTGACGCCACATCGACATGCTTTAGGCACAACGATGAACAAACGGCAGGAATCTAGAAAAAAAAACAAACCAGAAAGAGGGAGACCCACTGAGTTACACAGAGCAATACATCCAAACGGAGAGAGAGAGAACAGGAACACTCACTGTGTACAGCCCTGAAATGAGGAGGCGGGCGGGGCAGGGGCTGGGCAATGACAGGGAACTTTTGCACATGCTAACAATGGACACAGGGAAAAGTCAAAAAGGACATGGAGGACACCAAGAAAACATCCAATTGCCAGAGACAGAGGGAAACTAAGGCTTGGATTTCCCCCGAAGCATCCAAACACGCCTGAGATCTCTGGTGGTACAGAGCCTTGGCCTCTCCAGCTCCCTGTTAAAGACCCAGGGAGGAAGAAGCCTGGGGTGGGGGAATTCTTTAGGGGAGGGGGCCAGGATTTCTCCTCAATCCTATAGGGATGGCCCTTTGTTCCCAGAAATCCAAGCTCTTAGCTTCCACGCAGGCCCTGGTCACTCATGTGGGACCCAGGGAACAGTGTGGATGTATTCAAGGCAAATCAATTTCATGATGAAACCCAAGTAGAAAACAAAAACTACTACAGGATAAAACACATTTATGTAAGTGAAACCCCCACACAACAGCAAAAGATTGCATAAGACTTGACTGCGAGTCTCCACTCTCTGAGCTGAACCCTTTCACACCGGGAGACTTGTAGGGGAGCAGCTTCTGCACAAAACCATCTTTGGCCTGGGGAGAAAACTGTGCTCGAGGGCAGTGCTGCTGCGCTAACTCACTGGGCAGGAGAGAAGAGAACAGACAGAAGTGCCCAGTCTCACCCGCTGGCCTCCGCAGCAGCCCAGGACTCTGCTGGGGCAAATGCTCCTTTTAGAAAAGAACACCCACAGCAGGTCAGGACCCTCAGGGTGCGGTATCAAAGGCAGGCTGATCACACCTTTGCCTTCATGTCGTTTGGAAAGGGGTTTCTGACAGTCTCAAGAGCCCAGGACAAATCTGTGGGCAATAATGGTGAAATGGGGGAGGAGGGAGAGAGGGGAAAAAGTGGGAACGGAGTGGACTTCTGGGATTTGGAAAACCCCACGATGGCCAAGGAGGAAGACAGAACAGAAGGTTAGTGATCACAGCACCACAGCACCCTGGAGAGCACAGCTCCCTCCACCGCCAATTCACAGCATTAATTCCTTCCCCCTCTGGCAGATTAGCTGGGCTGCAAACAGGCTACAGAAAGTCAGTAGTTTCAATCATACACAGCACCCTGTGTGTATAACAATCACATTCTGGATTCTACAAAATCCTGGCCTTTTCCAGAGATATAATTTAGGTAATAAATATTCTCCACCCCGGAGCTGTATAAAACTTCTATAAAAATAGAAACAACATTCTTAATTCCGGCCGGTTGGGATTCAGAACAGCGCCTCCCCAACCTAGCATTTTTTTTTCTTTTTTCTTTTTTCATTTTTATTTTTTGCATTTATTTAAAAAATCCCATCATGACCCTGGAAGCCTTTGGAACAGTTTTATCCTTGAAACACAGGACACATTTCACCCAGTGCGCAGAATTCAAGTTTACGTGGTTCAGCTTAAGAAGTATGTTCACGTTTCTTAGAGGACAACAGACCCAAGTTATTATGAGAAGGGAACAGCTGTCCCAGCTTCAGTGGGATAACCAAATATCTGTACAACAGCACAATGGTCAATCCCTGTCTGTGACCCAAATGGACAGCATGACAAGGAGAGAGTCCCCACCCAACTTATTAGCAAACCAACCCTTTGATCTCATCTCTGCTGCTAGGGGTCAGGACTGATGTTGGTGAAATTTAAGATCCCAGGGACCCAGTCACTGGCCTGGAATAAAAGTCATATCCTAACAGGGCTGCCTGGGCCCAAGTGCACTTCCCACAGCATGTCCTTCCTGGCTCTCCACCCCCAGTATTTCTTGGAGCAGAGGCAGAGCCCAGAGGCTGGGGAGATCACAGGCAAGAGCTGGAGTAAGGCCGTGGGAGGCAGCAGGGAGCTAACTATAAGCACGTGGACAGAAACGAACATGATAATACTGAGGTAAATAAACACTAAGTCCATATGGAGGCTGTAAACGTCCTGTTGTCTCCTCTGTCCCCAAGAGAAGAAGACAGGGCTGGAGTGGTTAGAAGACGGGACTGCCTTGATGAAAATACTACATCTGGGACACCTCAACCAAGGAGGCAAGCATGCGTTTCTTAGTCCTTTTAAGTACCAAGTGCTGGCTGGCCTCTGGCAAATGAAGTATTCTGGCTTGAAGGGACCTTCTGATGCAGGTGCACCAAGAAGCAGGCTCCTCTGCCCCAACTAGATGGCTTTTGATCACTCTGCTCAGGAGGAGTGCCCCCTCAGCCAGGTACTGTAAGCCCCTCTTGGTTCTGCCGTCATGATAAAACGGTGGCTTGGGATGAAAGGACACTCCTTGCTGTGGTCAACTACAAAGCAGGAAACCAGTGTGTCTCCCTAGACACTCTGTAAGAAATGGGTCCTGGTCTAATGACCTGTTGACATAAACTAAAACTGACCTGAGCGGCTGCTTCTTTCTAACAGCCCCCAAGCTGGCAAGCCCAGCCCAACACCAATGGCTGGCTGGAACAGCTGGTAATGGGTGGTGTCTCCCTGCTTTTTGCATACATCAGGCTAATTTAACGGGTGTTTTATTTCCAGAAATTGTTAGCCCCTTCTTGGGAAAGAGGGGCAGAAACCCTGGACAAAATCTCAGTGCTTCCATAGAAGCAGCTATAGGAGAGTTCCCGCTGACACCTGCAGGGCAGTGGAAATCAAGTCCCTCTCTCTCCTCAAAGCCAACCCCACCAGCTCCACCCTCCCATCCCCAGCTCTTGGACGGCAGCTCTCATTTCATCCACTCTCAAACTCAGGGAGATTCTGGGGGTCAGTTTTTGGTTTCACTCAGTCCTCTCTCAGGGTAGTTCTGGACAAGTTCTGATCTTCTTTAATGTTTCTCCATTCCCTTTCCTCCCCCAGGGTGGTTTGATGTTGGTCCTTCTCAACATATACTGGTTACAAACACAGCAAACTTTAAATAAAGAAAAAGAAACTCAGAATATGGCACCTAAACTCCAAAGTAAAACACTGGAAACCAAAGCACAAACTTGTCCTCTGTACGAAGCGAAACTCCCACAGAAGGCAGTAGCCGAGTCTTCAGGGCAAGCTGTGCCTGCGAGAGTGGCAGGGATCAGGGTCCAGGGCTGTCAACACACAGCCTTAGGGCTTCGAATCATTAAGGGTGCTCCTCCCCAACTTACCAGAAGACCCTCACTCCAGTCTCAGAGGGGAGCACGCTCAGTAGGGCTTGCTGTCATTCTTCGAACGTTTGAGCTGCACTTTAAGCCGCTTCATGCCAATCTGAAAGCCGTTCATGGACTGGATGGCAGCTTGAGCAGAAACAGGATTGTCGTAACTTACAAAACCTGTGTGTCCAAGCAGAAACCTAGGTGAGGGACATAACCAGGCAAAGACATTCTCAGTCCTCCTTATGCAAAAGCGATACCTTATGAGCTTAGCCTCAAATCCCAATTTTCCTCAGCAGGAAAAAGAATTCTGGAAATTATCTACACTAATAAAAGAGAAACATGGTAATTGGCGTACGACCGCTACCCTTTTCATTGGCTAATCAGC